TCTGATGCATTACACACCTTGGGCTGAGCAAAGACAAAGTTGTATATTAAATGATAATAGCATAAGAGTCAGACATATTGCAGATATTAGAAGCATGTAAGATCAACATATCTACAGGGCCTGATAGTGTCTCACTTGAAGAAAGAAGACATGCTATTCATAAGCATGAGACAACACTTCCAGCAGTCTCTCAAGAAAAGGATAATACTCAGTGACTGGAAAATTGCTCATTTAGCATGCATCCATCCATATAAAGGGGTGAAAAAAACAGACCATGTAATTATAGACCATTATGTTTGAAAAATATTGCTTGTAAGGTTATCAAAGCAATAATTAGAGGATCGTCAGTATGACTAGGATTCTAGGAGATTGTCAACAGGAATTTGGAAAACATAATGATGCTTAAATCTGAATTTTTGGAATAGCGTCCAAAGCAATAGATGTCAACAGAGCATTCAGTATGACATATTCATATTTTCAGTCTTTTAAAACAGTTCTTGAAAGAAAATTAGTTCCCACAAACTGTGGAGGCAGTACTCATTCAGGGAAACACTTGCACTGACTGACTAACTGCTTGTTAATGGATGAGTAGCAGTACAGATAAGATACGGAGAATGCTCATATTGGGGTGATTTTCTTAGCGGAATATCACAACAATCTTTCTAGTTTCTGTCAATGATCTAGAGTTTCTGGTATACTTACCGAACTGGTCAAGTACTCAGATGATACCACAATAGGACAATCAGCAAACATTGTGGAAAGCACACAGAATAAATTGAAAGACTGAGATAGAATTAGAGATGCTAACATCTGATGTAATGTAGGTAGGTACAGAAAGTGCAGCTTGCCAAAAAAGTTATAAAATACTGTGGGAAATTCTTGAAGACACTGCTTATTAGAATTAGGTGCATTCAATCCCGTGATGCATTGGACTAGAACAGTTGGTACAGTAAAACTGATTGATTGAGTGTTAATTCCATTTACCTCTATCTACATACCGACATATCCATCTAATTCTGCATACCACACAAAAGACTAAAAACACTTAATTTAGTTGCATTTGGCTCCATTATGTAACTGCCAGTTTGTAGAGACTATTGTTTTAAAAATATTTAAATTACTGATTAATTGAATTATTGTTTGCAGAACCTGTATGAAAGGTCTTACATCTTCCAGTCTATCCTGAGAAGTATCCTGACAGTATCTTCCTGTCTATCCTGAGAAATGAATACATAGAGGTGCTACAAATTCTACAATCTCTAGGTTTTGTTGCTTGGGCAGCACTGATATTTGCTGCTGTAATACAATTATTTTTTGTAAATTTAAGTGCTGCACAATCATAAATTTAACTTTGCTGGAGACAGTGTGAAAGTAACAAAGTGAAAGAATGCACAGAATCTACTGGTGACTACCAACTGGGACATTATATAGCATGATTCCTCTTGTACAGCTGTACTCACTTTAGAAGACAACAAGGAAAATATTAATGAGACTATCACCGCATCCGTTATTGTTTTGTTTGTGTAATATTATTCTTAAAGCAATCTCTTGCTGGTACAATACATTTTCTGGTTTCTTTGCAACATTTGCTCTATTTGTTCTGAATAAACATAAACTTTCCTTCAATTTATCTGAAGGAATAACTAAACCTGTATCAAACAAGGTGGTTGAGAGCTGCAAAATAATTAAGTTATTGAGATTAATAAATCTCTTTTCTAGTCTTATTCTCTCGTCTTATTTAAATATGCTCCTTTAGTGGGGGTTAGGGTATCACAGTTTTAGAAAAATATAATTTCCCTACAATTGTAATCCCTTTCAACTGTATCTATAACCTTGCTCACTACGTCACATGTGAAGAAGGCTCCACAGAATCTGAAAAACATTTTTAAAAAACGAAAGTACTGTACATTTTCTACTTTTCCAGCATTAACCTCTGCCTGCTCCTTTGAAACTGATGCAGCCCCCCAGATCTAACCAATTTACAGGTTTGTGAACATGTGCCAAATGATCTTCCTGGCCAATACAGTTTTTGCCTGTTTTTTTTGCACAGCTTGTATCTGAAAGCAATTAAAATATTCTGTAGTATTAATCTAACCTTTGTCTTTACTTTCCTTGCACATCTCAGGATTCAGGTTTCACACTTTGTAAGACAGAGGGACAATAGGCAGTGTGTCTTATTGAAAATCTTTTCTGTGTATGCATAGGAATTTGAAATAAAAGAGGATGATAGTATAACTATTAGATTTGCATGTGTTAACTCAAGAGCTGTTTAAAGACAGTAATGAGGATTTTATAAACAAGTCTGATAAGAGTTTTGCAAAGGATATGAAAATCGGGTTTTTTTTTAATTTTCTTTCCTTATCTGTTATTTCACCATAACGGTGCAGTGCACACCCAAGCAAGCACCTAAGTTTAAAGAGCACAAGGTCTAGTCACACGCTGTCTTTAAATAATGAGACAATCAACAGAAATGCTGGAGAATTACAAGATAATATTCAGCTTGGGCACCTCATTTTGGGGGTGGCCTGGTATATTCAGAGAATGTGTAATACATTAATGTTTAGGTTAGGAACAAAATCACAGAGATGGCAATTTTAATTGAGATTAATTACTTGATTTATTTTCTTTCTTACACATGTGAAAACTACTGCTGCTTTCTCTAGCACCCAATTATTAATGTCTTAGTTTAAATATAAGAGGATCCATCACTGCCTAATTTATGTTATTAAAATGTTTCAAAATGTAAATGCAGTTTCATCAACACAAGTATTTTTTATACTGACTAAAAAAATAATTTAAACAATCAAGGTACAGGCACTCTGCTCTGGCCTATAAATGGAGTTAAGGAGATTTTCCTGCCTCATTAATTACATTAGAAATATGACTACATGCATTGAGTAACTAAGGGTTCACCGAAGCGAAGCAATTTTCGAATGTAGACACGTCAAAAACAGTTCTGTCCTATGGTGAGTCACCAGTACATTTTCCAAACAGGGCTGCAATGTGACGTTGTTTCAACAATTAAAATGCATACTATGAAATATGTAAACAGCATGCATTTTTAGAAATAAGATGGTAAGGAGGTACCACACTTTGCAGTTGTACCACACTTATGTAAATTGTACTGTTAATGTGCAATTATCTAGGGCTATTATCTATCGCTAGGTCCTCTGACATCTTTGACATCTGACAAATCTTTCCATAGGATCAATGTTTTTGCAGATCTGGTCTGAGAAAACTTCTGACGCCATTTCAAGCGGATGTCTACCAACACAAAAAATCAAATGGCTACTTTCTTTCTGCAAACTCCATGTACTCACCTCCATACTCTTGTGTGCAATTTCCAGGGGGTTAAGGGTGACTCAGGAGATATGCTCCTTAATAATAATAACATCACTTTATTAACCCTTTTCAATTTCTTGCATTAGGAATGATCTTTTCGCATACCTCAGCTTGCTCTCCATGAGACACACAGACACACAGATAGGGAGAGAGCCTGGGATCAAGGCAGGATGCTCCTGTACAGTGTCCTCTATGTCACCATCCAATTCTGGCCATCAGAGGTCTTGAACCAGAACAGGTCTTTGCTTTTTTCATTTCCTGTAATTCCATGTGTATTTTATGTATCTAAATTAACTTAATATTTTTCTCCATTACTGTAGGTCAAATGTTTGCAAATAGATGGCCATGATGATCACATTAACGGCCATTTCAATTAAAAAAACCCTTATGGTCAAAAATACGACCCATCAGTCAGTATGAATATGTAGATTAATGGGATACCATTGTCTCCTTTGTCATAAGATCAAAGGAGCTTGCCATCTGTGCACAATGACACCAAGTTTAAAGACGGTTGAGTAAATGAGTTCACTGAGTAACACTGGCATGATGTGATTTCAGTATGTAAATGACACAACACTGGCAGAAATTAATCACCAGTTCATGGAGGAATATAGACCTGAGGAATGGTGGAAACAGATATGGGCGCTGTGCAATGCCTTCAATAACTGCATGATGGATGTACAGTATGAGACTAGCCAGATGGGCACCCAAGTCCCCTTATTATTTGTTCACCATTTTTGTGAGCTTTAAAACCTAAATAGGACCGACAGAAGTGTGAGACCCGATCTCACTGCAATCATATTGCAACTCCCATCCCAGTTCGTCCCTCACCGCATGAGCACGAACCCGGGTCTCTGGTGTTGTTCAACAGGGGTATTCAACAGGCTCAACCGGGCGGCCAACATCCCTGTTATTATTCTAACTGATAACTTATATTATACTTATCCTTGGACATGGTGCACAACCTCACCTTCTCCCAGGGATTTTAATCACTTTGATCTATTACAGAAGCATCAGATCTGCAAATGGTGAAGAACTGCAGAAAGCAATACACTTGTGGCCATAGGGCTTTGACCCACATTTCCACTACACTAGATTCTGCGCACAGGTCTGACTGTATGTTGGGACACGTGACTATGGAGATTTGGAGAGTATGTAGAAAAAGTGTATCAATGGTATACCTTTGGTTATTTGTTCTTCTTATTGGTTATACCTGTTGTGCATAAATACCACAGAAGATCCTGACCCTCCTTTTATTGAATAACTCTCAAATGGTTAGCTTTTAATATAAATATACTGGTAAAAAGGGTTCTGTTCTGAGCTCAACACACTGGCACATTTTTTTTTTATTTAAACAAAGTGAGTTTTTATTCTCATCTCTTTAATGTGTGCCCAATTATTTTATTAATTGCCTAAGTTAGATTTATCACGTGCCATTTAAATTAAAATATAATGTGCATTAAAGGCACTTCTTTTAAAATGTACTAGGGAGCTATATTAAAAAGCAGTCATTTTTAAAAATGAGACACTTATAAAATACTCAGATTTATGGTCATTATGCCATTTGATCATATAATTTCAGTCATGCATTTATCACTGTAGAGCGAGTGTGCGAGACAGAGCGAGAGAGACGTCAGCACAAAGCGGGATAATCAGAGTGCTTGAAATATTGTCGTTATTTTTACCAAATACATTCCCTCACATAGGCATACGCGGCGAACACCATCTGCGGACACCCTTCCAAAACCCATATAGTATATAACGTATCTTACCTTCGGTTCTAGTTTTTATTACACTTTAAAAATGGGATAGTTCAGGGATGCAACAGTTTATGTACAGTCCTGGAAACGGTTACTTTAAAGGAAGTTGACTGCGATTCGCTTGTGTTCTTGAACTGTTTACCTGCGTGTGGGATGCCTCAGACGCAGCTCACCTCTCCGTCAAAGGGACCAGAATGAGTGCGGACTGTACAAGCTACTACAGTGCAGAAAACGTGTTTGTGAGTGGGTTCACGTGTCCCAAACCGGGCAACGATGACAGTGCGGTCTTTTGCTGTGGATTTAATGATATCAAATACTGCTGTGATGACCCTAACAGCTTTTTTCCCTATGAATATGGGTACATGTGGTGGCTGAGGTAAGGCTGTTTTTGACCGAAATTATAATTTTCACTGCTAAGGTGTTTACTCGGAAGAAATGGTTTTCTTTTCCACATAGACTTATGTCCTTATGCCTGTGCTATTTTTTTTAATACCAACCGGCACGTCTGTCTCTGTTAATTTTGTGGGTTTTCTGGTTTCAGACATTCGCTGTCAATGTGTTTTCTGGCGAGTATAATATTAAATGCAATGTGATAAGCAAGTTTAATTCGATTCCTTCCTGTTCTCATTACCGCTGAAGATAAATTTAATGCCCGTGCAACTTGAAGCAAATTGGCAATTTCTAGGCTTGTTATAGCTATCATAGGTTTGTATGAATGATAATGGACAACCCTTTTCATTGTGCACGATCTATTGTGCTCACAAATCCAACAAAGTAATGAAAATATTAAACAACATATTGACGAAGAAGAAAACTATTTCAATTATCCCGTCTGTTTAAAAAAGTATTTTAAAATAACCGAAGCTAATCACTTATTTCACGTAGTTATTTGGTTTAAATTGCTATGTGTGCAATTATTATTTCCCCTGCTTTGTCATATTTTTTTAATGTAATGTTTCTTTGCTTGATATTCTAAATATTCAAATATTCTTTTGAAAATATTTGTTGGAACATTGCATCACTTTTTTAAAGACACAGAAGTTAAGTTAAAAAGTTGAGAATCAGTGAATTATTGCCAAGGAATTGTAGATGACTAGTGAATACATAATTAATAAAATATGAAATGAAATATCTAAATAGGTTTTTGTCCCCATTGATGCTGATAAAGTATTCATTTTTAAATTACTAATTGGCTGCAGGGAACCAGTTGTCTCTCAGTTTATTCTAAAAAAAGATTTATCACCTTATTCCCAGTTCCAGACATGGTTCTCCAGATGAGTGAGGTTCATTAGCTAAAAGGGATTGTGGTGGCTCACAATAATCTTATTTTATTTTACATTTCAAAGTAACTGGAGGTAAACTCAGTCCACAGAACATATGCATCCACCAAATAAAAAGACTGCTAAAAGTCTCCAGTTCTACTTCTGTGGTCATTACGACTGAAGTAAATACACAATCCCTAGATATTTCTTTGCACCTCTCTACATAAATGTCAGTTTGAGGGAGGAATAAAAAATAGTGCAGTCATCATGATGTCTCAATGAATATGTCCTTGATGTAAAAAAAACTGGAGTGAGAGCAATATTGGAATGATGCTTTGGCCTTTCTACAACATCTACTTTCAGTGAAGTAGGTTTACGAGAAATGTTTCATTTCCTCATCCTCAGAATTTAGAATTTAGAATTTAGATTTATGTCCTTATGCCTATGCTAATGAAAATGCTCCTGTTCACCAGCAACCCCAATTATTCACCAGTCATTTTCTCCACAACGTCATTTCTGACCATTCTGTGGCTTCACTTGTTGAATAGACACCAGTTTCATCAACTGGTAAGTTTACACTAGTTACACTAGACCTGTGACTTAAAGATCTTGAAGGAAATTTATTAAGTTAGTTGAACAAGTATAACATCTATGAGATGAAATCTGCACACTCCAGAGCAATGAAAATTATTACATATCTAAACTAGACCACAAGGAACACTTTCCCATGGTTGATTATAGTGCACACTGAAGGCTTCCATATCAAAATCAAACTTCACTGCTCAAGGTGCAAAGTTTTAATGGTATAAATGGTTTGAATAGGCTGTAAATTTAGGGGCAGACTGGACAGTTAACAGTGTGCAGTATCATACAGCTAGTCAGTGCAAATCTACTGTTATATGTTATTTGCATCCAGTAGTTATTTACTGTATGCAGACAATGTCATATACTGTACAGTATGTACAATATTAATATAACCATCTGAATTCTTTATAAATTCCCAAATATAGTGTGTTGATCCATTTTTTTCCTTGCTTAATGCACTTCAGAAAAGTTGCATTGTGTGACATAGTGGAGGTTAATCTCACCTTGTGCCTCTGCTAGTCACCTCTAGAGGGCCCCCTTACACAACACCCGCTCTACTAATTAGTACCGCTATATCAGATTCTCATGTGTCTGCCCCAGGGTTTGCCTCAGAACCGCACCAGTATCACTTGAGCTCAGGCGCACAAGTATTTTCTCTCTAAAAAGGAGAATAGGACCATCTAGTCATCCCTTAACCCTTCTGTCTAGGATGTAATGTTTCTTTGCTTAATGTTCCTAATATTCAGATATTCTCTGGAAAACATTTGCTGGAACACTGTCTCACTTTTTTAAGACACAAAAGTACTGGTGATAACAAAAAACACAGAAGATGGTCTCTGCCTGTACCGACCCCCTTGACACCTTGGGAAATGGGAATACTGACCACACATTTTCAACGAGACCAGGTTGAGGATCTTACATTGAAACGCACACAGGAACAAGACTCTGAGTTCAATGGACAACCTGTTGATGCTCACGAATAACTCATTAATTTATCATCAGAAATGATCTTTACCAACTTGACGGCCCGAATCTGGAGCAACTCCTAATAACCACAATATTGGCAATTCATGCCTAAACTGTCCAACTTACATTTACTTGATGGATACCTGGGGATAGAGAAGACCCAAGAAAGGGTACTAAAAAGATTTTTTTGGCCAGGAGATGCTGTATGCCGACATCAGGTGCTACTGTAATAACTGTCCTGACTGTCAGCTTAGCTTTCCAAAACAATGGCTGCATGTAACTGCTGCAGCCCCTACCCATCATGAGGAATCCTGTACTCACATCACAATGGACATGCTAGATCGTCTCCCTAAAGCTTCCCAGGGTCAAGGATACGTATTAGTAATGGTGGATTATGCCTCGTGTTACCTGGACAGGGCTGTCAGCAATACATAGTAAGGGCCATAGTACATGGTCAATTTACTCACACAAGTCGGACTACCGTAAGAGATCATGATGGACCAGGGAACTGTCTTCTCCTCCCGCCTCATGCAGGCAGTTGTGGTTCTTCTAAAAATTAAAATCTTAAGAAATGCAGTATATCACCCCCAGACCGATGGCTTGGTGGAGTATTTTAACCACCCCCTGAAGCAGCTGTTGAAAAAGGTGGCTCAAACCAAGCAAAATGATTAGAATTAACTCTTTCCTCTTCCAATGTTTGCTGTCATGGAAGCCCCAAACCTTGATGGGGTTTTTCCCCATTCAAACTACTGTGTGGGAGACAACCGTAGGAAATGGTTGATGTGGCTCAGGAGACTCAGATTGCACAATGTCCTCAACTATATGAATACATTTTACAATAGACTTAAGCAATTAAGAATGCTAGTAGAAATCCACCTCAAAAAGGCACAGGACAGACAAGAACAGAGCTGTAACCTCAAGGCACAACTGCTAAAGTTTAAATCGGGACCGGGTAATGTTTCTACAACCCACCCCTAAGTGTAAACTTTATGCCTTGTGGCAAGGTCCCTGTGAGGTATGTGAAATAAATGGGCCAGTAACATACAGAACAAGCCATTCCGATCATAAAAAGAAAGAAAACAATGACCAAGTCAACATATTATAATAATGGCATGAATTTAACCCTGGCGAAGGGTCTTCTTCACATTTGAGCTGTTGAAAAAAGTGAAAATATCAGTAACCCTCTCCCTTTGTCACTGGCCAAAAGAGAAAGAGGATATTATCACCCAACTGCACCAAAACAGGTAGGTTATTAATGCAGATTTATTCCTCAGTTCACTGACAGATATGACGTGCCGGTCTGGCCCTAAGACAATTCCTAGGACTCTGAAGTCAGCTAAAGCATTTTCCGACTTGAAGGTGGTACACTGTACAAATCCAGTGCTTAGGGTGCCAGACTTTTCGTGCTGTTTCCTTCTGCAGACACATGCCTCTGAGAGAGAATTGAGGTCTGTCTTATCTCAGAAGTTTGATGGGATTGAGAATCCCATCCTTTATCTCAGCTGCAAGATGATCCCACAAGAGAGAAACTGTGCTGCTGTGGAAAAGGAATGTCTGGCAGTGAAGAGGGCTATTGAATCCCTGCAGTACTATCTGCTCAGCAGGGAACTCACCCTAGTGACGGACCATGCATTGCTCACCTGGATGAAGACTAACAAGGACAAAAACGCCTGAGTAACCAAGTAGTTCCCGACTCTACAACCCTACAGGTGTACGTTGGAACATTGTGCAGGTTCAGCACATGGGAATGCTGATGCTCTCTCCAGGACCCACTGTATGGACACTCATAGGCAGCTTTCAGCTATGGGGACATGGTGGAGGTTTATCTCACCCTGTGTCTCTACTAGTCACCTCTAGAGGGCCCCCTTGGCAAGGAAGGTGGCACACTCGTCTTCCTTTTTCTGACAACTATGTGGACATGCAGTTTCCTTGACAACACCCGCATTAGTAAATTAGTACCACTATATCAGATACTCATGTGGCTGCCACAGGGTTTATCTCAGAGCCATGCCAGTAGCACGTGAGCTCAGATGCACAAGTATTTTCTCTCTAAAAAGGAGAATAGAACTATCTGCTCATCCCTTAACCCTTTGATCGACATGATGCCTATAGACTGGTTCCACATTGGCCCTCTACCTCCTTCAAGGGTATTTAATATAAAGCCAGTGTTAAACACAGTCCAAGATATTCACGCATTGTTACAATTGTAACAGACATTTTTTGGTGTGACCTGCCTCTAATGTGGTCCTTTGCAGGTCTGGAGGACCTTGGAGGTCTGTTTGAGATTCTAACTGAAAGACATTTATTTAATACGAAAGACTAGAAGCAAGTGAATTCTTTGTTCTCTGACACAGCTTTGTTAAGAGGGATGATAATCCAGACACACTTGGTTAAACAAATATTTATTACAATTACAAAAAACAAACTACACCACAAACAACAAAACATACAACATATAAGTTACAGTATTTACAAACAAGGTGGTCACCCAGAAAACCCCAGACTTCTATTAAGCATTAAGCTCTTAATGTGCCTACAGAGGCCACATAAGAGATGAGCTGCCTTCTAACTAAATATAATGCAACCTGCAGTTCAATCTCTCTCTCTGCACCCGAGATGCCACAAAATAAATGGGAGCCTATATCCCTGTCCATAAAAATGCAGGAAAGACTTTTCTAACTGAGGTATCTTTTACACAAGTTCCCTAAACACATGGGTGGGGCAGTGGCTCTGTGGCTAAGGATCTGCGCCAGTGGCTAGAAGGTTGCCAGTTCAAATCGTGTAGCTGGCAGAGGAATCCTACTCTGTTGGGCTCCTGAGTAAGGCCCTTAACCCCAACTACTCCAGGGGCACTGTACAATGGCTGACCCTGTGCTCTGACCCCAATGCTCTCTCCCTGTCTGTGTGTCTCATAGAGAGCAAGCTCGGGTATGTGAAAAGACAAATTCCTAATGCAAGAGGTTGTATAGGGTTTATAAAGTGATGTTATAAAACACAGAACAGCACACTCTCTCTAACAAGGTTCAAATACGTGGCTCCAGTCAAGTTTGATTTGGATGATCATGAAGTAGGGGCTCTCACCTGACACAAGCTTCAAGTCCAGACTCCTCTGGACTTCCTTCTCTTTCCTTTTTCCCTGCTCCTTCTTGTTTCTTCCCTCTCTTTCCTGTGCTCTTAATGTGATCTTATATTGTCTCTTTCTGTCATGCTCCTTTGCAATCATATAGCTTGCCTAGGTATACTAAGAAAAACTTTACAATTGTTTCTGCTGAAGGGACCCCCCAGACCTCAGCAAACATCCTCTCAGGTTTGAAGCTAGAAGTGTTTACTTTGCCAAGTGTCACAAACTTTATCTTAGAAATGTAAGAGACACTTCACAGTCACCTAAAGCTATAACTTTATATTTTGAGAAAATATGCAGATAAAGTGGCATCATAAGATCAATTCTGGACCTGAAGTGCTATCTGTATGGAACCACCTGTAGGTGCTCTGGTTTCCTACCAAAATCCAAAACATTGTGGTAGGTTAATTGGCTTCTGAGAACATTGGCTCTGGTGTAAGTGTGTATGTGTCTGCCTGTGAGTGCCCCGTGATGGGCTGGTGTCCCATCCGGGGTGTATCCTGCCGTGACCCTGGATTGCACGAAGCAGTTAGAAGAGAAATGGATGCCTCTTTGTCATCTAACATATTTAGTAGAAATCAATCAGCGTTTTGAGGGTGCAGCTTGTAAATGATCAAACCTGTAAGCAGTTGGAGTCTTATTTGTTTTCCTGACCTTTGTTTCTTGTCTTGTCTCTCTCTGGCTTTGCATTGGCAGTGTGGGGGCGCTGGTGGGCCTGTCCATTGCAGCAGTAGTGCTACTTGCCTTTGTCATCACCGTGTGTGTTCTCTGCTACCTCTTCATTGCTACCAAGCCCAGCCGGCTGGACAATGGACTTCCGCTGCGAGCCCCAGGTAGGACAGTGCGCTGGGGAAGAAGTAACTCGGGGTTATGGGATACCAAGCTGCTCCAAAACCTTGAATGACACCCCTTCTGAAATTTAACCTGGTGAATTTTCAGCTTCCACCACTGTGGTTTTTCTCTACAGGTTGTACTAATATACAGCAGCATACTTTCACTGTGATCTTCTTTAGTTATACTGTATCACGCTTTAATTGTGCTGAACTTTGCTACAGTCACACAGTCCACATTCACAATATTAGCATTGCAAAGTTTTTATGATTACTGACCTGGTTAGTCACAGTGTCATCACAATGCTCTGATCCTCACTCCTGGTCCTGGAGAAACACTTCTGTTTTCTGTTTTGATCTCCATATAACTTGAATCAGCTCTTTAGGCATTATGTTTGAGTTTTCTATTAAATCTGCAAGGCTGTAGATCTCTAGGACAAGGAGTGAGGATTACTGTTCAAGTGTCATAAATCACACAAAAGCAGGATAAAAGCACAGAAAAGCTTTGTGAGATAAATTTCTATAATAAAAAGAGGAAAAACAGGGTAAAAGTGAAGAAAACATTCCCGAATATTTCCCGAGCAATAATCTTTTATAATAGTACTTTCATGGTGTCTTATATTATTGCCCAGACCTCAAGATGGGTAGGTCAAGTGGTTGCAACTTTAACTTTTATATTTGCACCTTTAGTCAAATATGTAGTGTAGAAAGTACTTAAAAAACATTGAGATTCCGTCATTTAAGGTTGTTGCAATGTAGTATAAAAGTAGCATCACCATGGAATGATCTCCATCATAATACTATAGCGCATGGCTATACTGCACTTGGAAAGACAAGATTATCATCCTCTCTAGATAATATGATCTGTGTATATCCTGATGATAGAGCAACTATTTAAGTCCATTGAATATACTGTGACTAAAAAAAGATCCTTGGATTATTAAGCTACTAACAACCATAGCAGTTAGATTGACTCAATGGCCTCCTCAAGTTTGTAAATACATTGCTTCTGTTGGTGAAATATCATTATCAGGAAATGTGCCTGTGATAGATCATTTAACACTACCCAGCTGCACAGTAAAACATGAGGAAGAAACTCCTGAAACTGATGATACAGCTCAAGGAATCTGACATTTTCAAAACTGATCTTGACATGTTTTATGTAGCTTCAGCTTTCTGGTTGGAAAAAGCAGATTTTATCACACTGTTGAGTATTTCTTTTCTAGATCTGAAGTCTGTAAATGTAAAACAGATATTGATGACTGAAAGGATGCTGAAAAAGGAATTTTGACTTGGGTGCAAAAACGGTTATCTGCACTCTGGTCCCTAATTTATGACTTAATGTCGGTCACCTTCTTTAAAAATTAGATACTGAAAGTAGTTTTATTGCATTGTTTTTATGGTTTGAACATGCTTTCCAAATAAATGCCAATTCACATACATTGTAGGCAATTTTCTTCATTTGGCTTGCTAATCTTGCTTTGTAAATATCTCTCAATAAGTACAGCATCTACTAAGGATGATAAAAGACAATAGTCCTACAGATATGTTCAGCTGTTTAATGGAAGCTGATTACATGTGTTTGACATGGAAAGGACCTAAAAGATCAGGAAACAGGCAAATTTAAATTCTTTAACCCAGTTATTTTTCTTAATGCTTGGGATTGTCACGGGCGCCAGTCCTGACTCCCGTGTAGTGAGTAATTAGGACCCTATGCAGACAGTAAAATCTGGAAGAGACTGGAGAAAGACAGGGAAAACATGGAGAGGAATGGATGGGAGGACTGACAGGAGCTGGCTAGGATGGTGATCCAGGTGCGTGGGGGAGTGCAGGCAAACAAGTCCAGTGGGAGTCCAAAAGGGAAAAACAGCACACAATCCAAAGTCCAGGTAGCCAGGAGGTCAATCCAAGATGAACAGTTAAAAACAGGAACTGGGTTGGGACCAGAACAGGAACAGGAACTGGGAAGCTAAAAACACGAACACAAGGCCAGGCGCTCCAAGCCCTGGACCCAGATGGTCAGGATGTTGAATAAGACCTGTCTCGAGCTACACGCAAGTCCGGGGAATAGGCAAGCCTTGTGGCGTCCATCTTCCAATACTGATCACAGAGATTAGAAGGTACATAACATATATTGTGACGGGTTAAACAGGAGACAGGTGCACGTAATAATGAAACTAATATAAAAAGGTCAGAGCGCCCTCTAGAGGAGGGATGATGACTGTGACAGGGATCTCATTACATTTGTGGTAACTTTACGTTACTTCTTTGAAGGAGGTTTTGGCTTTAACAGGTTTATTGTATAATACAGTACATGTATAATACATATAATTAAACAGGTAAACTGTATAATACATGATGGATTGAATTTACCAAAAATAACTTAATCTCATTGTAGCTGTACCTGTATAAAGGTCACACAAGAAAGCCGATTTGATTAGTATTCACCTGTACATCAGAACCCCTGGCTAGAGGTCAGTGATTTGTACTTTCAATGATGTCCAAACATTTTTCATAGCGGACATTTGTGGCAGAAGCATTTTAAATCCTTTAAATTTCTGTTTTATACTGAATATTCAGTTTCTGCACATACATTACAGGCATTCCTGATTTTTAGTGATTTCAAACATATTTTCAACAGCCAAAAGAAATGAATGGGGAACAAACCTGTAAAAACATTTTTTGTAGGCATTTCAGTGTTTAATTCCTTCACTTATAATTTATGGAATTTGAATAGTACAGAACAGAGTTTTAACTACTCATTCTTCTTCTTGAGCTCTTCAAAATATGTGACTGTATCATATGATTTGCATGCACACAGGTACATATGATTTGAAGTACACTCATCTGTGGGTGTTACTGCCACTGTATGACATTAATCTTCATACTGTAACAAAACCAAATGTGGTATTCTCAGGAGAGAGTTAGCAAACAAGGCTAGATAAGCTGTTCTTTGGAAAAGGCTGAGAGGAAATAAAGAACCTAAGATTCTGAAGGTACTGAAACAGACAAGACACCATGCAGCAGCTCTGTTTAATACCCAGACTGAAATCTGGGAGCTCTGAGATATTGGAAGAGATATTGTGTTGTGGTATAATGCTTTATACCAAAAACCTAATGCCAAGAGTCCTGCCAACAAGCAACAAATCTTTTTTTTTTCTGTAGAACAGCATCCACTGTGTCAGCTTGCATAGAAAGTATCTAGACCGCCAAACAAACTGTGTCCCAAGACAGTAATAATATAAGTGCAGGGGCAAACTCTCTCAATGATAGCACATGCTGTTTTGATGAGCTAACAGTCAATATTATCATGCAAATGATTCCTAAATAATGCAGTGTGTATAATTAAATAGAACTGATTTAAATAATCTAAGGCCATTTTCACATTATCAGTGACTAGTAACAAATACCAGTATGTGCACTGAAAATGATGCAGCCTGTTTTGCAATTAACAAATCATTAATGGGTTACTCTGGTGTTAAGTGAAATCGAATATTTTGCGGCATGCTTAGAGGAATGCATTTCCAGAAATCCCTTTAAAGTATCATAAGCTATTCTCTTTAGGCTGTCCTGGCAGGAGTGCATGTTATACAGTAGCAGAGCTGCTCAGATAAATATAAAAAATAAGTAAATGGAATGTATATTTACTTAGCTTTCCCATATTGTATTGTTTCAAACACACATTCAGCTTAGACCAGCTGATTTTACATATACCTGACATCCAGAGCATATAATCATTTCTTACTTAAAAAGCAAGACAGTGGTATCGACAAAAGTATAAAACACAAAACACAATCAAAAACAGCAATCAGCTGAAAATTGTTTTCTTAACATTTAGGCCACCACTATAGTTCTAAGTCTAAAGGGAATGACATTAGTTAATGTCTGTACAATTAAAAAACATTGTCAAAGTCAGCCCAATGAATAGCTTTATGCTCAGTGATAAAACATGAAGTCAAAATTGAAAGCTATGAGGTTGAGTATTTAAGACTGTAGATCATAAGACTGTTACCATGGTGTACTTTGTTTTATTCAAAGTAAGAAAAATATTTTAAGCAGTTCAGCAAGAAATCCTTTTCCTGGGAAGATTATTTGATAGAAGACTGCAATACAGACTCTTAAAAATATTGTTGATAGAGCATAAACACAGTAGACAAGTCTACACTGGAGAAAGAGAATGATGCAAAATTAGCTCCTCTCTTTGTACTCCTTGTCCAGACTTTCTCTTCACTAGCTGAGCTGAATATTCTCAGCTATTACGTTTGGGATACTGAGGACAAATTTGCACAATGGCCATATCAAAATTAGCTTATTTTCTGCTGCATGACTACAGCATTTGTACAACACATAATGTGCCATTCACATATTTTAAAAAGATTTTACAGTCATAATCAGTGTTTGTTCTATTGACAAACAGATACAGAATACTATTTACTGTTACCAATTTTCCACTCAACTGTTTATGTTCATATCTCATCCTGACCAGCCCTTTCGAGCATGAGGTTTACCCATTATCAGTATTTACTGTATATTGCTAATGAAATAATAGCAAAGACAAAATGGCCCAGCAAGAAGATACACGTCCTCCAGGTGTCCTTAAACATAGTGAATGTATTTTTATATTTGAGTGTTTTTTTCTCTTGTTGAGTTACTGAACCCTACTGTGAATCTCAAAAAAGAGATGATGTAGTAATAATTGCTTTCAGGGATTAGAGAGCCTGTACTCACTGCCACAATGTTCCTTAAATTTAGACTTGGTTAAATGGGAATAATGACATGTTGTGTTGTTTACAAGTGAGGTGTTTACAAGGTAGGGGGTCTCACTGTCTCTTTAGCTTTGTAGATAAGTACACCGTGTGACACAATAAGCGATCAATAGAGTTCAGAATAATACAAAATATTCAACTTCTCTAGGCCAAGCCCTGCTTACTGATTAGGATGCATTACATTTTCAGAGGATTGATCAACTGAGAAGGTCAGAGTCAATTATCTCATTTAAAATTAGAGGGTGCTTTGTACGGGTCTCAAAGCTTTTCCTAATGCGGCACAGTTTGCAACATGTTCCATGCACTTTTTATAGAAGAGTTGCCATTAGATGAATTTAGTATGAAAAATGATAAAACAGTACTGTTTTCACAAATCTCTTCGGGTGCAAGGTGTATGAGCACAAAAGCTTCTACATTAGTTTCTTTCTCAATGCAATTTTTATATATTCTTAACAGAATTAATGACAGTGAAACAAAAGCAGTTGTTTCAGAAGCAGATCTAGGCTGTTAATATTCCATCTGACACTGCCTTTTCATCATCCAGCACTTGTTAGTTGACAATTTGATTTGGGGGCCTATATTGATACATAAAGATTCCCATCATTTGGCAATTTTTCTGTGACCCACTGATATTTAAGGCATAATGACAGTTAAGATAGACTTGCTCAGATTGATGACTCAACCACAACGTTGTGAAAATTAATATAGATTTATGCGACTTAGACTTCAAACCAAAAATTCAAATAAGTAGTGGGAAATTGATATATCACTGTTCTATTAAGTCTGCATATAAATATCTACATAGAGAAACAGTTCCATCTGTTAATCTAGCCATAAAATGATTTGTTAATGCGCACCAATATAGCATTTTTCCAGGTCTGATTTTAAAAATATCTATTTTTATAAAGCCCACGCATAAAGCCCTTGAGGACAGGTGTTTTGCCAGGGATGTTGTACAATTTCATTAACATTCAGCATCACTAACATTTACAGGAACTTTGACATCTGTTTATTCACTAATAGGCACTAGCGACAGATTTGAGTCATGGCAACATGCATCTGTAAAGAAAAATGGAAATGCCAAAAAAGGGCTACATTTAACTGTATTAAAAGAGTCGGAAAAAGATTCTCACAATTTTCTCTGCAGCGTTATTTAATCATGATAAACTTACTTAATATTGCTTATTAAGCTAAGTAACTCAGTGTTTCAGTATTCACCTTGTATATATTTGCTGAATACAATTATAAATCTATGTGTATCTCAGGTGATTAACCTCCAAGTTACTGATATTACAGCTGTCACTTACAATACCTTAACAAGGTGCAGACCATGCTAGGTGACTTGTCATATTATTTTCAGTGGCATTTCATTATTTAACGAACGCCAAACAACCAATAGGTTGTGTAATGGAAGCCCACCGTGACTGTGAACGTAGAAGAGAAATGTATGATATTGAAACATCAGTAAATGGTGTGCAATACAGGTTTGCATAGTCAATTACTGCCATAGGTAGTTAGCTAGCACAGCTGATGGCCTTGGTAATTTGTTCAGTGTAATATTCAGTACTGAAGCAATGCAAAAACTACATTTATCTTTCAGGTTTAATCACAATTTTAATTATATGATAAATTCAGTGGTCAACCAGTTCTGTCTTAAAGACCCTATTAATGCAAGAGCCTTTTAGTTATGTTTAAAGGCCAATTAAATTTCTAACACAATTTCCCTTTAAAATATGTTACAACTTTACCAGCTGTCTCATTAGATGTATGATTCTACATTCTTGTGTGCATTTTCTCATTCTGACCAAACAGTTTGTATGTTTTTTTTGTAACACAAGCCTGATAATATCACTAGTCTCAAGTCCACTCAATCTTCTAGGCGTCTGTTCCTTTCTGACATTAAGCTCTCTTGTTGTTCAGCAACCTGCAAGAGCTGGAGAGCTTGAAATTGGAGTCAGTGGCATAATCTGCAGCCCTTTTGCAGAACCTCCTGTGAGGTTCTTCACCTCCTGAGTCAATATTTCACATTCATAAATTATTCAGAATTTAGATGTCTGAAGTCATTAAAATCTGATTATACAATGTACGCAAATGCATACAATCTTTAATCTACTGTGGTGCCTTGTACATTAGTAGTGACGCTCAAAAGTTTTTGATTTGCACAAGGAGCATGGTTATTATTTGGCTAAGTGATGTTTGCCTGCATGTGCGCTGTGCCTTTAGCGACAGCTTGTTTCTGTGCCTCACAGGTGCTGATCTCGGGGCTCTGGAAGGGCCCAGCCACTCCAATGCACCAACAGGTCCACAGGGATTCCGCAAGCATTTCCTGAGTCGCAAACTGGACTGCGACAACCAGCCCCCCGACCCCGACCGACTCTTTCAGAGGTGCTTCATGGCCACTGTGACCACTATAAATGTTGAGGGGCCCTCCTAGACACATCAGACACAACAACTGTGCAGACATTCTACAGCAGTCTGCTTTCAAGACAGTTTTTGTGTGAGAAGTCTAAAATGTAAATATTTTTTTAAAAGAACCAGCCTTCTGAGCATGCTAGATTGTGAGCAAACTGATATCAGTAAAAATGAAAGATGTCGGTTTAAGGCAGATGACGGAAACACTGTGGGTGCTTCTGTGGCTATTAGCTTTGCACAAAGCCAAGTCCAGAAACTTCATAAGGGAACATCGCCAAAGAACACCTCTTTCCATTTCACTTGACATGGAGTTTGTACAGCTTCAAGGCCTTTTCCACAGAGCTAACAGCACAAGGTAGTAAAAATACAAATGAACAAGTGGAGGTTGATTCCTGGATGAAAAGCAGAAACAATGCTTTGGCTATGCAGCTTTCTAAGAGAGATGATGACAGAAAGGGATATGACAGGGATATAACAGAAGGAGTCCAAAAAAGGCTGTCTTTTAAGAGTGGAACCCTTTCTTGTTCATTTGCAACCTGCATGCTGATACAAATCTCCATATGAACCTTGTAAAAATCAAAAGTCTGGACTGAATTTACTTTAGGGTTTACAAGTAACATGTTCAATGCTTTTTAAATTAGCTTTTTTAAAGATAAATACAGTATGTGTGTCTTTGTGGTTGTTCTTTTTCAATATTGTCTTGTTACAATCCCTGACACGACTAACAAAGCTCTCAGCTCTCTAATTGTGTTGTTTTTTGTAGGCAATGATAACCAGCAATTTGCTTCAATAGGAGGGGAAGCTTATCAATTTAATAAGCTTCAATCATTTCAGTATTTCTTTTCTATGTAGACTGCTTTTAATCCTAGAACTACCATGCTCATTTACCCAGATAAAGACAGAAACATATTTTGTTACATTAGAATCAAAGGGAACAATTACTGGATCAAATAGCTTTCTCTGTGTATTTAGTTCGCCTGAGTCTTAATACATCACAGCACTGAGATTAGCTTTCCATTAATGAAAAACAAATTGTTGAACATTCAAATGTGATGAATTGTTAACAGACTGAGCAACCTTAAAGAAAATCTGGTGACAGGTACAGTTACATCTGTGCATTTAAAATAAAACAGGTGCAGGTGTCTCTCTGTATAGTACTATACAATATTTATAGTATATACACAGATGCCACATGAACCCAATGAAGTCTCTGCCAGACACTACCAGTGCCAAAGCAACTTTTAAGTGTCCTTTCCTGTCATTAATGTAGAGAAATATCATTCGTGTCTCAAGAATAATTCTTCTACAATGTATCCTACTGTATGCAATATGCCTGTTTCATGATGAATTATTGTACTAGTGATTATTATATTAGAATATGCTATTAACTTGCACAGCTGGTGACTTTTACTTTGGTGTCTTTGTATTTGATGTGTCAGAAGAATGCAATTTTCATTCAATGCTGCAGATGACCTGATGTTTACAAATCAAGATGTAAGCTTTATTTATGCATTTAGATTTTGTCATCATTTAAAATAAAGTTATGAAATATATTTACAATCGCCATAACACTTTCTATACGAATAACGTTATTTTATAAATGCTTAAGAAACTGAACTCCCATGACTGAAGGTGTCATTTTATTGTCACTGTTAATGTGTGCTATAAGGTTGTGCATTTTTCCTTCTGATTATAATTGTGCAGTTCATAGACAAAGGGACAGCAGTATGTTTCTTTCTGTATCTGGTAAATATTATTTACAATATAATATTATATACTTTTATATATAGTATGTGACAAAAACATTGATATATATGTATGCATGTTCACACATACTTCATATACAATATGTTGTGCTAAATCAAGGCAGATCCATGTGGAATAAGAGGAATAAATCAGGGGAGCAGGGCACAAACCAGTGGTGTAGTGTTCAAGTAAAATGGGGGCTATCACCCCTGTTTGGTGGTTTTCACACTCATGGCAATTGGTGAGGGAGGGGTGAAGAGAGTCTAAGTGGTCAGGGTCCCTCTGTGACAGGGCTGTCTCAAAGGGGTGGCCGCCCGGACCCCGCACTTTGGAGGCCCCACGCAGATCAGCCCCCTCCCATTCCCAATTCCGATTCACACACGTCTAAAAATATAAATACATACATTTTCAATATTTTAATAAAGCGACACACAAAACTCTTATTTTAACACAAGATGAAATCGAAATAATAGTGGGAGAGCAGGTGCTTTATTCAGAACTGGAGGTGTGTCCCGTGCTAACTACGTCATAGGCCATCAGCTGCCAGCTAAAAGTGATTGCGGCAGAACTAAACTAGCTCGGAAAAAAAGTTAGCCGGGTTGAAAAATGGCAAGCGCATGCAGAGATGGGGACAGATTTCCAAAATACTACACTGGGTGCGAGAAAAGAAAAAGGAAGCAGAAGAGGGAGGGTGCAAATGTGGCGCTTAAAAGGGTCTTTGGAAAGGTTCGTTGTAGAAACGGACACAGGCGGTGATCTCGACAATGACAAGGATGCTAGCATTGAGACGCCTGATGGTACCGCTAGCATTAGCAACAACGGCGATTAGTAGTTCTGTTCGGTTCTGTATGTCTTTTTGCACAACCCAGTTAGGTGTTTCATCACCTCAATGCTGCTCCCTGCCGCCACCACTACATACAAGAACCCCCCTACGCTGGGCTCTGCGACACCCATAATGCCCCTTCAGACGGCCCTGCTCTGTGACCGTATGTAACACTGTCACTTGTTACTTTTGCACTAAGCTATGTGCCAGCAGGGGACAGAAACCAACCCAGGGAAAACTGTCCATCTCCAAAAATGGATTTACCATAAAGCTTCAGTAGGAAAATTTGTGCAAGTTCTTTCTTTATGACGCCAAATTCAGCTATATGCAGCAATCACTTTGAAAGCAAAAGCTCACTACAGCAGGTCTGTGCTTACATACTGTGTAATCCAATGTGATTCAATAGCCTTGAATGCTGTCAAGACAAGCATTAAGCATTCAGTTTATTTTATTTTATTGATAACTAAGTGTTTTATCTTATATGAGTAATATTTCAGCTATGTAGTGTTTTATACCATCCTTACACCTATGGAACAAACAAAGCAAGTGTCCTTGACATGTGTTGAATGACACATGACATTGTTAGATATTTCTTTATTATGAAATGATTTTAGCTTAAAAATAATACCAAACAAACAGGAATATATTGTAGTATTGCATTTATTTCATGTTCACCACCTGGCCATTGGAAATATCCAAAGAACTTCTAGCATGTAGCACTGAAGTACTGTATCTTCTTTCATATATAATCAAGCTTTACTAACCAAAACATAAAAATAAGCTGTTTCTATCAGTTGTCATTTTGCAGACTTGTAATAAAGTGTGTTTGTAGTCAGCAGTCCATTCTACTAACACTGTACATTCACACAAATCTGGGGCATGTCCCAGATTTAAGGATTTTAAAACAAGTGACTGAAGACTGACTTTGAGATATTCAATTGGAGAAAAGAAGATTGATCCCTTCTGCTAAGAATCAGAATCAAAATATACTTTCAAAATATACTGTCAACACACAGGGGAAATTTTCCTTTGGCCTCACTGAGACAGCAATAAAAGCAGTGTAGATACAGAAGACATAAAACATTCAGTGAACACCCGAAGAAGGCTCCACATCCGAAATGTTGTGATTTCTTTCTTCTCCTTTCAGCATGGAATAAACCTATTACTTTACCTATTATTTTGCAGCCTACGGATGCTGACGCAGCTACCCACATTAACTACTTTTACACATATATAAAATCAATGTAATATAGTCATACCACACAACACATTATAAAAATATAAGATTCAAGTGTGACTGCTTGCACATACAGTATATGACATCCATGCAATGCTTTAAAGAGGCCCATATATCAGAGTTTAAAAGAGTAACAGCACATGGAATTAATTACTTCTTAAAAGTTTCTTGTAACCTTTGATACTCAAGAAATGGTCTGGATGGTAATCTCAAAGCATGTGTGTCAGAACACTCCTTGTCAGTGTCACAATTGTAGTCCCTCTTCCTTAAGGGACGCTTCGGCTCTTTTCACTTTGGACTTAATTCTGTGCACCTGCCCCTTGTTCCAGCCTCCTTCCTGTTCCCCTTAAAAGCCAGACACGCAGTCAGTTCCGGGTTCTGCATCTGATTTCCATATAGTGCGAGCCCGGGTCCTGATGAGTCTGGCTCCGTCATGTTTTTGTCTCTTTCTCTGTTCCTGTTCCTGTTCCCCGTGCTGGTTCCGACCCAGTTCCTGGTTTTAATGTCCTGGATTGATCACCTGGCCATGGACTTATGCTTGTGTTTTTGAATTCACCTATGGACTGATTACCTTTGGATTGTTTGCCTTGGCCACACCTTCACCGTGCACCAGCGCACTTGGGACACACCCCCTGTTTTCATCCCAGTATTCCTGCATGACTTTTCCCCAGTGTTTCCTCACTTCTTCGGATTGTGTCATCCGCATAGGGTCCGAAAAGAACTGTTACGTGACAGTCAGCACAATTACAGGGTTCCCTAGATAAGAAAAAACACTGGGTGTTTCATCTCCAATCATAAGTATCCAAATCCCCTTAAACATTTTACAAATACTAATCTTGTTTTTGATTCCTATCAGTATGGAAAGGTTTGCTTTAAGATAACAGTGGAGAAAACCAATGAAGAGAGAAATGGGATGTTCTTTAGTTACACTTTGTAGTTTAAATTGAAAATCTTGTCCTTTATGCTGTTCTGTGTGGTACTTGTGCCACAAAGGTGCTCAATCACTGCCACACAAAACAAGCGGTCAAAGTAACATTGTCTCATTCTTAAAAACTCTACCCCTGCTCTGAGCTCAGATAACATGTTCATTTGGTGAAGCCAGGGAAGGGTCAGCTGCAAAAACAGATATTAACACTGAACGCTGTGTCCTTGGTTTCTTTTTTACCTTTCTTTTTATTTTTACCCTTGAAAACAAAATTAACATTGGATGCTATGAACATTCCTATAGTGAGTGGTGCATTCTGATGCGTTCCAAATTGAAACATTGCTTAGGAAAGTACAGAATGCTTGAAACTACTAACTGAAAACTTATACATATTTTATGAAAGTACTAACGTGTAGCTATTGTGCTGATATTAATATGCATACAGGAGTATATTTTGAATTCACTGGGACAGTTCTGAGTAGTTTTTAATAATTTAACATGAAAGGTGGAAATATGAGGAAATAAGAAAGTGGACTACAGATTCCTTCATGTGCCTTATGGATCATTTGTTTTGTGCAGTATATAATCTTATCATCATTGATCATTCAAGTGAGTCTTATTGTCCCAGGTGTTTGTTATTGTCACTGGGGTGTGTGACTAAGGAACGCTTTTAAAGATGGAAAGAAATGGCAAGACATTTCAGTCTCACTCATACTGTTTTTCCTTTTATATCATCTTTCACAACATCAATAACAGAAACCACACTAAAATGTATCATTTTCATCATTCAAGACTATGTAAAATTACAACAAATCAAACAAAGCTAACAAATTCAACACAAGCTTGCCTAATTAAGATTAATGGTAGGTTAAGGGAAGGGAAGGTGGCATCATGGTGAGATACTGTACAGCAAGAATTTGCAGTTCATACCCGAACTGTCCTGTGATGGTGGGTGAAGAAGACTGATTTAAGGAATTGAACGCTTTCTTCTGTTAAATGAAAGGTGTTTTTTAGGAGTATTAATTAAAATTCTTTTGTCCTGAGCACGTGAATGGAATACTCATGCAGGGAGCAGAAAAGCTGAGGTATTGAAAGTGAGGACAATAAACATCCTCTGTCACTCATGGAACACAGAATAAGAAGTAGAAACAGTTTCTATTGTATTACAAGTTAAACACTCATAGGAGATGCTATACTCAAACAGATATGAGGAACATGTTCAAATGAGGAAAAAATATTGTCTAATTATCCCCTTTTCCAATATATTGCCTATTTTAGAATCTTATTGAGAAAAGTATTCAGATACAAATCTTACAGAGCTACACATTTATACATGGGCTTTTCAGAGTCTTTTGAAAGAATAATCTGAATTACAACATGCCTGTCCAGGAATTAAGCCTTCTTCTCTCACGAGTCTCCAGCACCCTACAAACAGCACAGTACACAGTATGTCCCGCCCTCTGTCGACGCAGCCTCAGCGTGTGACGTCATACACACTGTTACAGCCGGACTACAGACTCGTCACCCACAAGTCATGTTCTTGATAACTGGCGATTTTAATCATGTTTCTCTCTCCTCTACCCTGCCTACTTTTAGTCAGTTTGTTAAATGCCCTACTAGAGATAACAAGACTTTGGACTTACTGTATGCTAATGTCAAGAATGCCTACAGCTCCACATCACTCCCCCGCCTTGGCAGATCTGACCACAACCTTGTTCACCTCCTATCTCTGTACAAGCCTCTGGTACTACAGCAACCAGTAACCACCAGGACAGTGAGGAGATGGTCAGCTGAGGCTAATGATGCACTGATGGACTGTTTTGAAACAAC